CTGTCCATTAGCATGGAATGTCTTTGCATTTCTTTTGTCATTTTCATTTTCTTTCATTTGTATTTTATAGTTTTCAGAGTGCAGATCTTTTATCTTTTGGTTAGATTTATTCCTAGTATTTTATTATTTTTTGTGCAATTGTAAATGGGATTGTTTTCTTAATTTATCTTTTTGCTACTTCATTATTGACGTATAGAAATGCAAGATTTCTATAGATTGATTTTGTATCCTGTGACTTTACTGAATTCATTGATCAGCTCTAGCAATTTTTTTGTACAGTCTTTCAGGTTTTGTATATAGTATCACATCATCTGCAAATAGTGCAAATTTTACTTTTTCCATACCGATTTGGATGCCTTTTATTTCCTTTTGTTGTCTGATTGTTGTGGCTTGGACTTCCAGTACCATGTTGAATAAAAGTGGTGAGAGTGGATAACCTTGTCTTGTTCCTAACCTTAGGGGAAATGTTCTCAATTTTTCCCTATTGAAGATGATATTAGCTGTGGATTTTTTGTATATGGACTTTACTATGTTAAGGTATGTTCCCTCTAAACCTACTTTGTTGAAGGTTTGTATCATAAATGGGTGTTGTACTTTGTCAAGTGTTTTTTCTGCTCTAGTGAAATGATCATATGTTTCTTATCCTTCCTCTTATTGATGTGATGTATGACATTGATTGATTTGAGAATTTTGAACCACAGTTGCATCCCAGGAATAAATCCCACTTGATCATGATAAATTATTTTTTTAATGACGATTTTTGTATCTATGTTCATCAAAGATATTGGCTTGTAGTTCTCAGTTTTTCTGGTGTCTTTATCTCGTTTTGATATCAGGGTCATGCTGGCCCCATAGAATGAATTTGGAAATTTTCCTTTCTTCTAGTTTTTAGAATAGTTTGAGAAGAATAGGTATTAATTCTCCTTTAAATGTTTGCTAGAATTCACCTTTGAAGTCATGTGGTCCTGCACTTTTGTTTGTTGGGAGTTTTTTGATTACTGATTCAACTTCATTGATGGTAATTGGTCTGTTCAAATTTTCTATTTCTTCCTGTTTCAGCTTTGGTAGGTTATACATTTCTAGGGATTTATCCATCTCTTCTAGGTTATTCAATTTGTCGGCATATAGTTTTTCATAATATTCTCTTATAATTGTATTTCTATGGTGTTTGTTGTTATTTATCCTCTCTTGTTTGTGATTTTACTTATTTGGATCCTTTCTCTTTTTTTTTTCTGTTAAATCTGGCTAGCGGTTTATTAATTTTACTGATTTTTTGCAAAGAACTAGCTCTTGGGTTCACTGATATGTTCTGTTTTTTTTTAGTATCTATATCATTTATTTCTGCTCTAATCTTTATAATTTCCTTCCTTCTGCTGGTTTAGGTTTTATTTGTTGTTCTTTTGGTAGACCCTTTAAGTGTAAGTTTAGACTGTTTCAGATTTTTCTTGCTTCAGTTTACTGCTATAAACTTCTTTCTTAGAAGACACTTTTGCTGCATCCCAAAAGTTTTGAACCATTGTGTTTGTATTTTCATTTGTTTTCATGTGCTTTTTAATTTTTCTTTTATTTCCTGGTTGACCCATTCATTGTTTAGTAGCATGTTATTTGACTTCCATGTATTTGTGGTCTTTCCAGATTTTTTTCTTGTGGTAGACTTCTAGTTTCATAGCATTGTGGTCAGAAAAGATGGATGGTATGACTTTGATCTTTTTGAATCTTTTTGAGGATTGTTTTGTGTCCTAATATGTGATCTATTTGGAGAGTATTTCATATGCAGTTGGAAAGAATGTGTAGGGGTGCCTGGGTGGCTCAGCTGGTTAAGCGTTTGACTCTTGGTTTTGGCCTAGGTCATGATCTCATGGTTCATGAGTTTGAGCCCTATATCAGGCTTTACACTGACAGTGCAGAACCTACGTGGGATTCTCTTTCTCTCCCTCTCTCTGCCCCTCCCACATCTCTTTCTCTCAAAATAAATAAATAAACCTTTTTTAAAAAAGAAAAGAATGTGTATTCTGGTGTTTTTAGAAAGGAATGTTCTGAATATATCTGTTAAATCCATCTGGTCCAATGTGTCATGCAGAACCATTGCTTCCTTGTTGATTTTCTGTGTAGATGATCTGTCCATTCATGTAAGTGGGGGTGTTAGAGTCCCCTATTATTATTGTATTATTATCAATTAGTACCTTTATATTTGTTATTATGTCTGGGTGCTCCCATGTTGGCTGCATAAATATTTACAATTGTTATATCTTCTTGTTGGATTGTCCCCTTTATTGTTATATAGTATCCTTTTTTGTCTTTTATTACAGTCTTTGTTTTAAAGTCTAGTTTTTGCATTATAAGTATCACTACTCTGGTTTTCTTTTGACATCCATTTGCATGATACATATTTTTCCATCCCCTTATTTCCAATCTGCAAGTGTCTTTAGGTCTAAAATGAGTCTCTGGGCATCTGGTTGGCTCAGTCAATTAAGTGTCTGATTTCAACTCAGGTCATGATCTCACAGTTCATGGGTTCAAGCCCTCCATCAGGCTCTATGCTGACAGCTCAGAACCTGGAGCCTGCTTCAAATTCTGTGTCTCCCTCTCTCTCTGCTCCTTCCCCGCTTGTGCTCTCTCTCTCTCTCTCAAAAATAAATATTAAGAAATAAATGAATCTCTTATAGGTAGCATGTAGATGGGTCTTGTTTTTTTGTTGTTTTTTTTTTTAAATCCATTCTGTCACCTTGTGTCTTTTGATTGGAGCATTTAGTCCATTTACATTCAAAGTAATTATTGAAAGATATGTATGTATTGACATTTTATCCCTTGTTTTGTGGTTGTTTCTGAAGATTTTCTCTGGTGCTTTCTTGTCTTTCATGGTTTGCTGGGGTTTTTTACTGATATATTAGGTTTTCTTTTTTCTTTACATATTCTTTACATATTTATTAGTGGTTTTTGATTTGTGGTTACCATTAGATTTGTATATAATGTCTTCTGCATGTAGCAGTCTATATTACATTGAAGGTCATTTAAGTTTGAATTCATTCTTTATTCCTCTCCTTCCCATGTTTTAGATATATGGTAATCATATTTTACAAACTTTTATTTTGTGAGTTCCTTGACTAATTTTTTATAGAAACATTCACTTTTACTGCTTTTGTGTTTCCTATCTTCATATTGTCATTTTTGGTCTTTCCTTTCTACTCAGAGTCCCCTTTAATATTTATTTCTTCCAGGGCTTGTTTAGGAGTCATGAATTCCTTTAGTTTTTGTTTGTCTGGGAAACTCTATCTCTCCTATTCTGAATGATAGCTTTTCTGGATAGAGTATTCTTGGCTGCATCCATTCAACACTTTGAATATGTCATGCCACTCCTTTCTGGCTTGGAAAGTTTCTACTGAAAAATCCACTGATAGCTTTATGGGGTTTCCTTTCTATTTAACTATCTTCTTTTGTCTTGCTGCTTTTAATATTTTTTCTTTCTTACTATATTTTGCCAATATGATTACAATGTGTGTTGGTGTGGATCTGCTTTTGTTGATTTTGTTGGAGGTTCCCTGTACCTCCTGAATCTGGATCTCTGTTTCCTTCCCCATATTAGAAAAGTTTTCACCTATTGTTTCTTTAAATAAATTCTCTGCCTCCTTTCCTCTCTCTTCTTCTTCTGGGACTTGTATGATACAAGTGTTACTAAGTTTGATGGGGTCACTGCATTCCCTAAATGTGTTCTCAGTTTGCTTAATTCTTTTTTTCCTCTTTTGTTCAACTTAATTACTTTCCATTATTCTATCTTCTAGGTCATCAATTTGTTCCTCTGCATTATCCAGCCTGCTGTTCATCCCACCAAGTGTGTTTCTCATTTTGTTTACTGAGCCCTTTATGTCTGCTCTATTATTCCTTATCTCTGTATTAATAGTCTCACTGATGGTCTTCACTCCTGGTCAGATCCAGTGAGTATTGTTATGATCATTGCTTTAAATTCTCCGTCAGGCATGTTACTTATATCTGTTTGCTTAGATCTCCAGCCATGGCCTTGTCCTATTCTTTCATTTGGGACAAATTTCTCTCTCTCCTCTTCTCTTCTCTTCTCTTCTCTTCTCTTCTCTTCTCTTCTCTTCTCTTCACTTCACTTCTCTTCTCTTCTCTTCTCTTCTCTCAAGTCTCTGTGCCTGTTGCTGTGTGGTAGAAGGGTCAACTACATCTCTTGTTCTTGAGGGTAATGGCTATATGAAGAAGAGGTCCTGTAGTGCCCTGCTATATAGAGTCCCCTGTTTCCTGATGCCTGTTGCTTCTGGGAGTATCTCCAATGTGTGCTGCTTAGCTCTGCTGTTGTGTCCAAGCTGCTTTATCTTTCAGGCAAGTTGTCTGCAGAGGCTCTTTTTGCCTGTTATGGGCAGCGTTTGGGCCCTGGCCTGAATGTGGTGCATTTTAACTGGGTGTGCTCTGGTCTGTTTGTGAAATGAGACCTGTTGCCACTGCCATGGGAACCAAGGCCTCATAGTACTTCCAGGTCAGGAAATACAGTGTTGGCAGGGATTTGAGCTGGTCTTCTGTGGGGGAAAGACCTCCCAAACTGGGACTGAGGCAAGCATAACTGGGAGGGGCATTTCTTCTGGAACAACAAAGGGAAAACTTGGTGTACACAAGTTAGGTATTGAGTGTGGGCACTCTAACAGTTTCTGCAGGTGGCCCTGTGCTTATGCTGATGGGTGCTAGAGGGAGATGGTGTCAGCTAGTTCCTTTGTTCCCAGGTGGGTCTCTCCATGAACACTGCCTTTCTGTGACACACTCCAAGATGAGCAACTCACCTCCCCACTGTGTGCCCCAGGCACTCTTCAAATCGCTATTTCCACACCGTATGTCAGTGGGATGTTTGCCCTGCCTTTTCTCCAAGAATAGCTCCAATGTCCTCCAAGCTCTCGCAGGGCCAAGCTCACGAACCTTTAAAAGTCTAGGCTTTGGGGCTCCTGGGTGGCTCAGTTGGTTGTGTGTCCGATTTCAGCTCAGGTCATAATCTCATGGCTCATGTGTTTGGGTACCGCATCGGGCTCTGTGCTGACAGCTGGGAGCCTGGAGCTTGCTTCGGATTCTGTGTGTCCCTCTCTCTCTGCCCCTCCCCCACTCATTCTCTCTCTCTCTCTCTCTCTCTCTCTCTCTCTCTCTCTCTCTCTCTCTCATTCTCTTTCTCTCTCAAAAATAAATAAACATTAAAAAATAAAAGTATAGGCTTCAAGCCCTGTGGTTGCAAGAACTCATGAAATTTGGGCCCTTTAACTTCCCAAGCCAATTGCTGTGGGTGATTCATTTTCCCCATGTGCTCCCCTGTGTGCTAGTCTTGTCTCTCTCCCTTCTCCATTACTGTAGTGCCCTCCCCACTGCAGGGGGGTATAATCTGTTTCTCTCCCATACATGGGGCTTGAATTTACAACCCTTAGATCAAGAGTTGCATGCTCTACTGACTGAGCCAGCCAGGCGCCCCTCCTTATTTTTTAAATGGATAATAATAGTAGCCACTACATAGTAGCCTTATAAGGGGAATTTAAAAGTTAATATAGCTAAAGAAGTTATTATAGTACCTGGCAAATAATAACTACTCAATAGTTGACAGCGATGATAATGTTGATGGTAGTAATGATCATAGATCATAGAGACAGTTTCTTAGAAACATCACAATCTAGCCTTTGGTGATTTTCTTTTCTATTTCCCATTTTGTCTATCTCATTTGTACTATTTCTTGAATAAATTTTCCCAAATGTGGGATATATGTGCTTTTTGTTCTCAGAGTCTTTGCAGATAAATTATTTTTCCTTATTTCCTTATTTGAATTTTGAAGTTTTTAAATAAGGAAGAAGAGTTAGATATATGTAATCAAGTAACATTCTTTTCCAGAAATTTGTCATTTGTTTCTTGGCTTCTTTTACATCACAGTCATGGTTTTAATTCTCATCCGCTGATTGTAAATAAAACAAACAAGAAACAGGGTCGCCTTGGTGGGTCAGTTAGTTAAGCATCCGACTTCGGCTCAGGTCATGATCTCACAGTTCATGAGTTCAGGCCCCACATTGGGTTCCCTGCTGTCAGCACAGAACCCACTTTGGATCCTCACTCTCCCTCTGTCTCTGCCCCTCCCCACTCATGCACATGCTCGCTCTCTCTTCCTCTAAACATAAATAAACTTTTTTTAAAAACAATAAAACAAGAAACACAAACCTGAGTCCCTTTGATGCTTAACTGTTGATTCTGTCCTTGGCCCTTTACCCACTATGTATGTTCTCTACGTTCTCTACAACTGTTCCTATCCTTCAGCCATGGATTCAGCTCTCAATTTTAGGTTGATGGCTAATTCTCATATTTTGTCATACCTCTAACTGCATAGTAGACCTTTCCATCTGGAAGTTCTATAGACATTTCAAATTTTGCACCTTCAAATTTTCATACCTCTGCTCATTCCTCCTGCCTTATTTCTTTTCTGTCCCCACTTTCTCCATGTTCCTTTTCTCACTAGATCACACAATTGGACAGGTTCTAAGATAGTTACCTGTAAGTCATGTGTAATTCTTTCAATTCTGTCACAGATTCAGTACAAATCTGTGACCACCATCTTCAGTTTCATGCATAATAGATAATGAATGCTTAAGTTTGCTGACTCAATAATTAACACCTTACAGGATATTTCTACTGTGGGTTTTTTTTCCCCTCACAGTGTAATACAAAATTAGGTAAATATGAAGCCTTAAGATACAGTTTGTAATGAACTCTGATCCCTGGATACTAGCTACATGAGTTCTTACATATTTTGACCACTGCATCTAATTTTGATGACTTCATATTAATTAGGATTGTGCGTTTACAGGAAACAGTGACGTTTAAGGATGTGGCTGTGGACCTCACCCAGGAGGAATGGCAGCAGCTGAAACCTGCTCAGAGGAACTTGTACCGGGATGTGATGCTAGAGAACTACAGCAACCTAGTCACAGTAGGTAAGGGTAGCTTTGCAATTTTACATAGAATTCCTTCCCATTTTTGCAATGTATGAAGATTTTAACTTGCCTTTTCTTCACATGATTGTATGTATTCATCTGCAGGGTGAAGCCTAATTACTTTGTCTTACTGTGGAAATTCCTTTCTCCTTATCCTTCACAGACCCTCAAGCCCCTAAGACTCAGCCCAAGGTGTGGATAGTTGTCTCCAACATTAACACGCAAGTCCTTTGCTATTTCCTGTAATAGGTTATCAAGTCACCAAACCAGATGTGATCTTCAAGTTGGAACAGGAAGAGGAGCCATGGGTGATAGAGGAAGAAATGCTTGGGAGGCACTGTCCAGGTGAGTAAGCAAAAAAGCAGCTCTGAATGAGAAAGCCACACAACAATTGTTCATGGGGTTGACACCATTTCACATTTTCCAAGATTTTTTTTTCTTTAAGTGTATTTATTCTGAGGGGGAGAGAGAGAGGGTGAGAGAATCCCAAGCAGGCTCCACACTGACAGTGCATAGCTTGATGCAGGGCTCTAACTCATGAATCATGAGATCATGACTTAGCTGAAGTCAGACATTTAACCAACTGAGCCACCCAGGTGCCCCCCTTTGGCTAATTTTATACATTTCCTGCTCCAGATGTTGAAATAGCAATTTCTCTAGAAATGCCTGCTTCCTTTAGTGGGAAATGATTTGGAGACCAAAATCCGGGCACAGTGCTTGCTCATTGCTTCTAGAGCTGGACAAAGCCAGGAAAAATACACTTTTTAGATAGAAAAAAATGTATGTGTTCATACTGATACATCCAATTCAAATTAAGGAGTATAGGGTTGTTACTTAGCTTTTTTGTTTTGTTTTTGTATCTTTTATACTGAAAATATTGGCTCCTTATTGCATTAAAATATTTATTTGCTTAATCCATATATATTTCTCAACCTTGGCACTGCTGACATTTTGGCTAGATAATTCTTTGCTGTGGGGGACTATCCTATACATTGTAGGATGTTTATGTAGGGTGTAGAATGTTTAGCACCCTCTGTGGCCCTCTACTTATTAGGTGCTAGGAGCACCAATCCCCTTTCTCACCACTCCCCCAGTCATGACAGCCAAAAATGTCTCCAGACCTTCCAGATACTGCCAAATGTCTCTTGAGGCCCCAAACTGATCTAATATATATATATATAACAATATATATTGCATATTGCATATTACATATATTACATATTATATATATTGTATATAATATATATACAATATATATTAACAATAATACCATTATTACTAATGATTAAAAGACTACTAAATGTAGTTTAAGACTTCTTTGGTTGTATTTTTTTCTCGTTTATGATATAGTCAAACTACTGTGTTTAAAAAGTCACTTTAAAGGGACTAAGTGGCCCTAACTTGATATGTAGGTTTACTTGTTTCCATTTGTTTTCAATTTTTAAGAGTTATTTTTTTCCTCTTTTTTTAGATTTAATTTTTTTTAATTATGTAAAAATTTACATGATTCCAGTGTCAAAGCTATAAAACAAATCAGAGATGTCATGCTTCTTTCTATTCAGGATATATAAGTGAAAAGAAATCAATGTGCAGAACAGCATTTAGAATATGCTACTCTTTTTATAAAAAAGAGTGGCAGAGGCACGTGTGTTAGATATGTGTTACATGTATGTATGTGTATATACATATATGTTTAGTATATGTATAAATTAAAAGAATATAGGAATAACCTCAAAACTAATAAAAATGCTTACCTGTCAGGCAAGGGAGGAATCAGTGTTTCAGGGATAGGGTGGAATCTAGTCTTTTCTGAATATGCTGCTATTTGGTAATTTCCAATTATTATCAACTTGATATTAATGAAAGATGAGGTTTAGTACTCTTGCACCACCACTACCACTTCCCCTTTCCTTTTTCTCTGGATATAGATATATCACAATTTTTGGCTAACTTGATTTTCACTGCTTACTTTGTTCTTTTAGGTGATATATTGTTACTACTGAGCCAAGAAATGACTATTAATTACATATCCTTATATAAATTGCTGTCATTCCTAGGGTTACTATTTGCCCAATTTTTCTGTTTGCTTTGTTTTCTATATATTTTCTATATATATTTTTTCTATATATTATATATATGTTTTAATGAGACTCTCAAATCCTTGTTTAAGTAGGGAATCAATCAGTGTCATTAGTTTTTCTTATTTTGATGCATCAAAGGATAAAAAGGAAATTCCAAAAATTCTTGTAGCTAACAAATTTTTGATGCTTTTTGAGTAGGAGACTGTTGGATTAGAACCTAGGAGTTTTTTGTGGAGTTCCAAATGGCAATTGTAGAATTCCAGTTGTGTGGGTCTTTTATTTTTAATCTTATCTGCTACCTGGAGGTAGATGCCAGCATTCATGAGGGACAAGCAACAGAAAAGGATTGGAGGGGCGCCTAGGTGTCTCAGTCATTAAAGTGTCTGACTTCAGCTCAGGTCATGATCTCATGGTTCGTGGG